AATATTGTCAGAAGGGTGATAGGCACTTTAAAATCCTGATAAAATACTCCTGCTCGTTTATTAAACACCACTTGATATGTTTCTGTAGTTAAAGTTGTGTAACATATTTATTTCCTTGGAGTGGATAACTGTTAAAAGTCTAGTTAAAAAAATCAGGTTTTCCCTTCAGTAAAGAGCGGTAGTTTTGTTCTAATATTCACCTTAATCTTAACTATTGCTGCGTTGATGGAGTTGCTAACATCCTTGACTTGTTTGACCACAACGTCTTTGTCTTTCTTCAGGCTGGATGCTRATGAAGAACAGAAAAAATACCAAGCTATGAATAATATGTTACTAACTAACGTTATGGCTTCGAATTTACAGCGTCGTCTCCCATTTATACGCAAAYCGCKCTATTTCCAGTCGACACTTTTTGASACATGGTCCCCGCTGCACTTAGTCACTCATAAACAGACCCTATAACGGGAACCGCTTTTACAATCAATGCGTTCCTTATTTTTCATAGAAAAACATTTTAAAGGTCTTACTCTATTCACTCATCAAAAGACCTCTATAGCACGACACCACCCCATTACTGGCACCTCTTWTACAACCAATACATTCCTTATTTTTTTATAGGAAAACATTAAGATGTTACTCTATCCACTCGTAAACAGACCTCTATGATACGGTAATTCGATTCCATCCCTTAAATGTCCGTATCTGAAAAGTTTGGCATTTCTTCCATAGACCTTTTGCATGTGACGTTAAAGCAGCTCAATGTTAAGGACAAAACAAAAGAATTTCAAACTCATGTCCTCCAAATTGAGCTGCGTACCGACGAGCTGCAAGGGGTCAATACTGATATTGGTATGTTCAATATTTACATAGCAGTAGTCTTGGAGTAACTCAGTGCACGATTAAAAGAGGTTCTTACCAAGTTCTGCCATTGTGCCAACTTGTACCTCGAGTCTTCGGATCTTCATAACRTTCTTGTACCTGTGAATAGAAGTTATGGATGGAGAAATGGATGATTGAATGAGATTAGAATAAAACGACCATGGAATCAAGGGAGGGAGGGAGGGAGGGATGGATGGGTGCACGGACGGACGGACGGACGGACGGACGGACGGACGGATGGATAGATAGATGAATAGATGGAGAGAATGAGAGAGAAGAGGAGATCGAAGGAAGATATAAAACTTTACCTTGGTCGATGTTTAATAATAGCATTAGACATCCTTATTGTCTTCTGGATCCTAATTATGGCAAGAGCACGGAACTTGATCTTGTTCGCAACTGTACAAAGAAAAACAAGAGCACAACTCAGATCATGAGCTGGGAACCCTGTGTTGCCGTCTATAAGTGACGTGTACTCTATTCCATGACATGGCGGCCATGTTGGTTAACATGACAAAAGAAATCAAGACCAAACGCTTTGTTAAATTCAACCAACAAGGCGGCAATGACATCACATGGAGGCAATGACATCACATGGAGGCAATGACGTCACATGGAGGCCATGACATCACATGGAGGCCATGACATCACATGGAGGCCATGACGCCACATGGAGGCCATGACGTCACATGCGTCCATAAAATATTGATCCTTGCATTATTATCAACATATACAGAAAACAATACGTACGATTGTTGGAAAGCATTGGTAACAGTACAAGAATAAAAAAATCTCGCTTAGMCAATCAGAAAATACACTTGATCTAGTCTATCCAATCAGAATGCTGGATACGCATATACAAGTCTGTGTATCACCATCATCTCAAAGCCATGAAAATCTGTTTGACCAGCTACACTTACGTTTAATGACGCAAAGGGTCCCCCAGATGGCTCGCCTCCAGCGCGCGCGGGTCAGCCAGGTGGTTACCTTGGCAACCATCTTCTTTAGACTCTCCGGGTCTTGTTGCATGATCTGATCGAACTCTGCAAACTAGAAAAAAATAAAGGAACTTGATCAAAAGCTAATTTATTCGCTAACCATTCATACTGCTTAACCAACAGCAAAAGAAGAATTTAGAACATTAGACTTTCAAATAATTTGTGAGTGTCACGCAGTAAAGCTTTGGCATTGCGTGACCGAAAATATACATTAAATATTTCAACCATTATCATATTTACGCGGCCAAGAGAGCTCAAGACGCCTGAGTTTTAWCGTTAAAAAATAACCGTTGGACCGTTAATTGACAGAAGCCAACTACCAAATTGTCCTATTTCACTATGACGTCACATCAAAACAATCTATGGTCGTCGGAGGGGGTCAAATCAACGCAAATTCACCAAAAATTGTTCTAAAACGATTCTATCCCCCACATAAACAAGCAGTGACGTCATAGTGAAATAGGGCAATTACCGCTGTGTTCCTCGATTACAAACTCATTTACCCAGGGTTAGCCTCGTATAAATTTCAAACTTTTGAAATATTCGTTAATACCAACGGTAAAGTAAAGAATGCAAAACTTCAACAATACAAACACTTTGCAATTTGACGGACCTTGACTGGAACACGTGAATATTCTGCACAAAATCGAGGCYACCCCTGACCAACTGAGAACTCGAAACTGGAGTATTATTGATGGTTTTCAACCATCCCCAAGAGAATTAAATAACAAAAGACACGGCGGYCATGTTGGAGGATATAACAAAAGAGTTAATTTACAATTCTTTTGTTAAGTTCCTCCAACATGGCCGCCGTGAAAACAATCAATAGCTAGTTGTTTGAATCATATATGTATTTATAAAAATGGTATAACATTCAGATCGTTTTATTTAAGAAAAAAGTTACCTTTCCTGGTCTGAAAAAGATTTTGGACGAACCAAACTTGAAATCATTCTCATTCATACCAACAGCATGGAACAGAGCCTAGAATAACAAAGACATGTTAGATTTCGCGGGAAAATATTATCAATAATTAATAATGGCATCTAATAATATCCAAGTTACCTTGCAGAACATGCGAGGATCAAGACGTACTAGTCTTGCCGGTAGGAACTTCTTGTACCTGGATCAGTAACAAGAAAAGTTCGAGTTTTTGTTTACAACAAAGAGGTAAAGGCAATCTTTGTATTGACTTCCCCGATAACACGGGGAGTGGTTGTTCAATTCTCTCGAGCCAGGGGCTTATGTATAAATTGCTCGAAGGTGCGTCCTTTATCTCATCAGACTATCAGTGCTCCTTATTACGGGTATTTAAAGCTAAAGTTACACAGGACAGAGTGAAGTCGAAACAGATGAGGAGATTCTTAGGATCGTACCTCTAACATCGCAGTTGCATAACGATTTCAGACAGGGGGGGGGGGGGGGGGGAATGTTGGAGCCGAAAGGACTTCTTTGGCACGAAGGAACATCATGGGATAGCTTCATGAAAGATTTCATTTGATGATGACACGAATCTTGTAGTTTGTGAGATACAGTAGAATCTCTGTTATCCGTTCCGAGGTTGAGAAAATAACTGGATCGGGTTGGCTTTGCAGTTCATTGTGGGACTGTTTAAGGGGACAGCATCGAAGCCATCTTGGAAATTTCCCCTAAAACAGTCCCATAGTGCAATGCAATGCCAACTCGACCCAGTCCTTTGCTCATCATCGGAATAGTTAATTAAGCGGCTACCCTCTGGGATTTGTCAAGTCGTCGCATAAATGGAGGTTGGCCGTTTAATATAAGTTCTACTGTAAAGGAATTGTGTGTTTTAGTGGTCGGGGGAAGAGAGAGATAAGGGAGCAGGGAAGGAGGAAAGTTGATGAAACCTCTCGATGGCCATTCTCTTGGCCGGCTCTGTATAATACGTAAGTAAAGCTTCTTACATTGCGTAGACCTCGTGGAAGGGTGCCCTGGAAGGCCATCCATCCTGCATGAGTGTTAGTACTGATACCATACCAGCACATTCTAACTGGCTTAGAATGGAACCACCTTCAAACAGACTACTGGTCATCTTGCCGTTTGGTTTGATACAGCGAATGAAATTAGCGCCCTGTGGAAACACGTTAGCTTGTATGTCAGTATGCTGCTTATTATATGGACAGTGAATTAGTATAGGAAGAATAACAGTGTACACACACAATTTGTCAGAATGGGRTTCAATCTTTTTAAATACTATTTAAGCTCACGCCCAGAAAATAATATTAGTGAAGGTAACCCAGTCCCAGGGGTAAAATTATTTTGCCCTTTTCTCGCTTCCTGAAAAAATACTATTTAAAAATAGTAGTATTTTTGGGCGAACGAAAACCGAGCGACAGAATCTCACCCTTGGGTTCCCGAGGATGGCGTTTAGATGCACTTTGCTTTAAGAAATAGCGAAACACTTACAGTACAATTCAGCTTGTTCATCAACTGGCCAAGTTGAGTCTGAAAAGAGAAAGGAAAAGTTGAAAACAGACCTTCAAAGCTTGCTGCTTCTTTCCTAATACTAGGCTACAAAACCAGCCATCAACTACCTATCATGTTCTACACATATTGACGAGCACTCGCCCGACTTCAGGGACTATATGTTCTAATACTATTCCTAATACTAGGCTTCGAAAGCCATCTAACTTGGCTAACATCACTATCGTCGCTATACCACGCTATTTTTTAACATATCATATCCTAAACTTCCCACCAAGGCTGACCAGATGACCACCCTCTGATAGCCATCTATTCTGCCTATCATCACTATTGTAACTATACTACTCTATCTTTACCATAGTTTACCCTAAACTTGCTGCCAACCCTGACCAGATGACCAGCCTCTGATAGCCATCTATTCTGCCTATCATCWCTATCGTAACTATACCACTCTATCTTTACCATAGCTTACCCTAAACTTGCTGCCAACCCTGACCAGATGTCCAGCCTCTGATATCCATCTATCTGCCTATCATCACTATCGTAACTATACCACTCTATCTTTACCATAGCTTACCCTAAACTTGCTGCCAACGCTGACAAAGGCAAGCTTCTTGCTTCCCTGCCTTCCTCCTCCTCCTGCTATGCTCAGGTTACCCATGACTTTGTCATCGCTGGCCTCACCGGGGAAAAGACTCTTGATGAAGGCATCCTCGCTGTCGCTGATCAGTTCTTTTAGATCATGGTGAAGGGCATCGTTATTCTTGTCAGGGAATTGTGACTGAGACGAGGATGAAAAAGAGCAAATGGTAATGATTATAAAAATGACTATATGACAATGGATCGTTATTCTTATCAGGGAATACACCAGTTTAACATTCAATGCATACCGCTGTTTTTGAAGACCACAGACTCATTTACACAGGCTTAGCCTAGTTTATAAGTCAGCTATTCACAGATACCATTAAAAGTCTGTTGGATTTCAAAACATTGGTATCGTTCAAGCTGCACACTCTTTACATTAAAGTTAACATTTGCAAATGATTTACTCTTAAGCGAGGCTAAGCCTGCGGAGATGAGTCTTCAGTCTTTGAACACAGCGGTATTTACGCGGAATGAGAAAAGAGACTATTGTGCCAGAGACGATAATGAAAAAAAGCAAAATTTTGATAGTGGTTATTATTATAAATATGACAATAGTGATACGTCTTTACTCCTCACGCAAAAAAGGTACTTGATACATCTTTTAGTACAGGCGTAATGTTTCCTCATTTACATAAACTAKAGTATAATTTCTTTGTTTAACGGTTGTGCATGAGAAGACACGTGGTCTGAAATGGGAAAACATTACGCACAAGGTAAAATGATTCATATCAAGGTAAAAGATCCATATCATGGTAATACGATCCATATCAAGGTAAAATGATCCATATCAAGGTAAAATGATCTATTCTTTAAACGACTTTTCGCGAGGGGAGTATGTAGAAAGATATTTGACATACTGTGTGATAACACACGGCTCCAGCAAAGTGACGAATCAGGAATCCTTCGTCATCGCGTAGGTTACGATGATACATCAGAGGTGACTTCCTGGGTAACTAGAAAACAAATGATAGAAATATTAGACTCAATCGATTATGATGATAACTACGATGATGGTGATGATGATTATGAAGAAGATGATGATGATAATGAAGATGATKATGATAATGAAGATGATGATGATGATAATGATGATGATGATGATGATRATGATGATGATGATGATGATGATAGTGTTAATGAATAACGATAATAGTGGTAGTGGTGGTGGTGATGATGACCACGTTAATGATGGTCGCAAATTTATGATACAACAGTGATGGCAATGTCATGACGATAACAAACCTATATATTACTGCTGCTGTTGGCGATAAAGGTGATGGTGGTGGAGGTGGTGACTGTAACAGTAGTAATAGTAGAGAGTTTTAGATTGACTTTTTTTCTCCCCTCAAACGGCAAACGTGACCACGTTTTCATAGTTTTCTTGTATTTTACTTTACCTTTTACAAACCTTCTCACCAAGCGCAAATACTCTTTTGTTTTTCTACTACTTGGACTTTTTTGCGATTCTTTTTCAGTAATTTAAAAGATTTTTTTTACTGGTCAACTGACGTTTCACGTTTGCCGTGAACGTAAATCTAAAACTCTCTAGTACTGATGATGCGCATGATAGAAAGACAATATTAGCTCCCTTACCGTCAATCTAAAGTGGTTCTTATGTTTCAGGTGAATCTCTGTCGTGAAATGAGCCGATGTTGGTTTAGGCAGCTTGCTTTCTTCGTCCAAGATGTCAAAGATACCAATTCTTTTCTCTTCTATCAAATCTAGTAAAACAAAAAAACAAATATCCTTCATCAAACGTCGCTCTCTCTCTAGTCTGTCTATCTATCTGTCTGTCTGTCTGTCTGTCTATTTGTCTGTCTGTCTATCTGTCTGTCTATCAGTCTGTCTGTCTGTCTAACCGTCTGTCTGTCTGTGGGTTACTGTTTACCTAACTATATTAGCTTAATATGCACCTCTTCAGCTTGGGCATGTTTCCCATTTCAAACCACATGTTATTCCCTAGAGTATGATTTCTTTGTTTAACGATTGCGCATGAGAAGACAAATGAATATGGACACAACTCAAACAAAAAATTATATTGTTCTAAAAGGAATGACCATTGGTCTGAAATAGAAAAACATTGTGCCTAAAGTGAAGAGGTCTGCCTACCTTCCTGCCTATTTGTCTATCTGTCTGTCTGTTTGTGGTTCGATATCTTTTTAGCCTCTAACTTGACACGTCTTCTGCCTATATCTATTAAAACAGAGCTTCCACAAATCATTAAAATTAGTCAAATCCAACTAGTGGTCTATCATCAATGCCGCCTTCTGATTGGATGAACTACTACTAGGCTATAAYAATAGCCTACTATGAACGAAAAGTGTCGGCTTTGAAAACCAAAACCTTAAATTTAACTTTAATTCAAGGATTGTTTGCATCTATATATTTGACTGACTAGTTGGATTTGACTAAAACAATTAGTCCTCTTGTCCTCATGGCCTAAGACTCAATAGCCCATTCGGGTTCGATGACTTATTGCTAAAACGTTGGGTCTGTAAGTAGCTGTGAACTTGTATTTACCAATACAATCCTGGTTGTCCATGTATTTCACAGCCTTTACGCCCAGTCCCTCACGGTTGTAAAGCTCTTGTTCCTGTACAACAAAAGAATATTGCATTACTTCTATATTCTCGCTACTTAATAAGTAAAAAAATAAGGGGCTTGTTATGAGAATTTCAAAAATCATCAGCTTATATTAATGTCACGGTAGGGAGKGATAAATGATCAGTCAATGAATTCTCATTATTAAGACTGATAAAACAGAATAACTGAGTTGGGAGAATTTATAGAGCAGCTAACCTGTTTGAGAATCCTGTCATTGAAAAACTGYTGTAGCTTTTCGTTACAGTAGTTGATGCAGAACTGTTCAAAGCTGTTCAGTTCATAGTATTCTGAAAGATTGCAAAAAGTTTTGGTTTATAATTAATACATTGCTTCTTTGCTTATATTCTTGGAGAGTGTGTCCTGTGCGGTGATTGACCTGTGTCAAGTCAAGGTAAGTTTGGTTGAACAGATCTCCTCTCTTCTCTACTACTCTCCTGTCCTTTACTATCCTTTCTACCCTTCTCCTCTCCTCTCCTCTCCTGTTCCCTTCCCTTTTGCCTTGCTCCACTCTACTCTACTCTGCTTTGCTCTTTTCTTCATCTCCTTCGCTCTGCTCTGCTCTGCTCTCCTCTGCTCTCCTCTCCCCTTTTGCCTTGCTCTACTCCACTCTACTCTGCTTTGCTCTTTTATTCATCTCCTCTGCTCTCCTCTCAACTTTCCTTAATTTCCTCTCCTCTTTGTTTCTCGCTATCGCTCTGATCTCCTTTTTTCTCCTCTCCTCTCCACTTTTCTTCATCTCCTCTACTCTGCTCTCTTCCCAACTTTCAACCATCTCCTCTTCTCTTTACTCCTCCCCTCCCCCTTTTTTTCTTCCATCCTTCTCCCCTTTTCCCACCTTCTCTCTCCTCCCCTTTCCTCTCCTCTCCATATCCTAACGGTACCCTGTACTGTGACGTTTCCAAGCCATATGATCGTCTTCTTTCTCCTTACCAAAACCAGCGATGTCCAGCACACCAATATAAGTGGATGAAGAGCTGAAAGGAAAGCACTGGTTGACCTGTGCGACTATGTGATCAAACAGCTTGGTGTAAAGTGCTTTAGCTAAGGCATCTCTTGCTGCTCCAACCTGTTCTTTGGTCAATGGCACCCTGTAGACCACAACACCAGATACTAATAAGTATTAATTATTATTAATGCATTGAATGCTATCTGTGATTGTGCATGTTGTTGGTAAAAGGTCCTATTTACATGAGAATCGGATAGCTTCGATTACTTGTATGCCAATGGCACAGCAACTCTGGAGTCATATGCACTCGGAATATACTTGCATCGTCCATACAAATTTATCAGTGCATTGAAAAACAAGTATCTCGCTGCTTAGCCCCGACAAGGGAGGGGGGGGTACACTATTTTCATGTATACAGTGGTGCCCTATTTTTTAATTCCAGTGCAGTGCAATGTGTTTGCATTAGAGCAGGTTTTGTGTGACTTTAACATGCCAAGCAGTCTTAATCTAAGAGCCATAGGCCTTTACTGAATTTGAAAATAATGCATTCTGGTCTAGCTYGGGTACTTACATTGTTTATCATTCTATCTGTTCCGTTTATTGTTTTAATCATTTGCCGAATTAGCTAACAAAGGATATAGTTGCTWGTATTCTTCGTTTGCACGTTTTGTCATCGCGGCCATGTTGTTACCATTTAAAAAAAGATTTCTCATTAGCATCYATTGTTATCGGTAGCACAATGGCCGCCATGTTTTTGTCTTTTAACTCTCTTGGGAATGCTTGCAACCCATCAATAAGGAATGATGAACTGAGATATTTGTACCTAATCTAGACCAGAATGCACCCTGTTCTCACTTCGAGAAAAGGCCTTTGACTTAATTGTTTTTCCATGCTACAAAACCTGCTCTTGTAATTATCAAAAGTAGCTTGGTAATACTATCTACTAAATRAATATTCACTAGCGGCATATTGTTCTGTAACAAGTTAGTTTGTTATCAGACTGATCGAGGTTATATTAAGATGACGTTACAGATCAGAGCTACAGTATGGCTAGTTTACCTTAATACTCAAAAAAAAAACAACAACAAAAACAGATAAATACGCATGTTATATCAAGATGACGTTAGAGTACTATAACCGGTGTATCTTGTGTTTTTAAAAACAAAAYAAAAAACAAAGAACGTGTTGTAATGATTAAGTTAGTTTGTTATAAGACTGAGGCGTTGAAAAATACGCAGGTTAAATTACGTTAACGTTAGAGAGCTTTAACCGGCTTATTTTGTTACTAAGAAAACGTTTAAAATGTTTGCAATGAAAAGGTTAAAAGGTTTATTTAAAGGTTAAAGAGATTTGGTTTTATCAGATATTGGTATCATCAAATGCGACTCAAATTCCTAAAATAATATGTAAWTCTGATATTTAGAATCCTGAATAAATGTTTTTAAAGTGTTTTAGGTTGTTGTTTTTTTTTGTCCCTTTTTAGCATGTTGATATTATCAAATGCGATTCAGTTAACTTTATGMGAGTTATTCTAGTTGGATAGGAGAGAGTAGAGAAGAGAAGGAAAGACAATATTTTTGTCCTTGTTATTAAGCATTAACATATATAAAAGAATATTATTATTTGATTATTATCAACAATTATTATTCATTAAACTTAACATGTTATTATTAATATTATTATGGTGCATTAAAGTGAAAAAGGAACGTTAGGTCGATACAGAACAATATTTGTTGCTTTGGCGGGCGTGGTATGCTGTCCGACCTCATGTCTGCTCCACCTGCAGACATCACTCTGGTTGTCAGGGACATCTGTAGCTCTTCTGAGGATACTCTGAGCAGAATAGCTGTGGTGTTGAGATCATTCATGGATTTAGCAGTCACTACACAGCCACCTTAAAATAAAATACACAACAAATATAAGTATCAAAAAAATTGTGGAATTTTTGTAACCATTCCCTGATGATGGCTCGATGAGCCRTAAGCTTGGATATTAGATAATATATACGTAGATGAAGCACTGATCCATTGATAATTTGTGGAATATCACAAACCAAGTATTCTGAATGGCTTTCCCGCTATTAGGGTAATTCCTTAAAACAATATAATAGATCACACATGGCTGTGAAATGGGACATCACACAGCATGGTCAAAGAACTGACTTAAGATGTATCCTTTGAACCAATAACAGCATGCAAGATCACTGGTTAACCAGTGAAATGTTTGGATGCAGCATCTTCAGAGTGACAGCACTTGGCATCCACACACAGAAATTTTCATACAAACTATGTGTAAGTAATTGCAGCAGTAGTAGTATCAAGAAGTAGTATCGTTGTTGTTGTTGACTATGCTACTATATTGTATCTAGTGATAACCAACAAGTAGATAGCTTTAGAAACTGTGYCGATCGGCCCTTACCCTTGGCATCATCCTTCTCCTCAAACTCAATGTTCCCAAGATGAAGTACGGCTGCAACCACCCTGTAGATGTTATCCTTCTCCTCCTTTGAGAATCCAACATTGTCCATTGATTGGTCCATTCGCTTGAAGTCCTTGACGTCATCTAAACTTGGGTCCTTGATAGAGCCCTGCTTCAGGTACTGAATAGAATGGAAKGAAAAAGAAGTGAAAAAGAAATGAGAAGTCAAAACCAAGGAAAAATTATCATTAACAGTATACAGGTTTGTGTGGGTAAGAATATAATGATAAGGGGGGTGCATGAAGGTGGTTAATGTTTTGATAGGGAGGGGTGGTTGGGATAGTAATATTGTTCTTAGGGTGGGTTGGTTGGTATAGTAATACCCCTCTACTGGGGTGGGGTCAGGTAAGGTTCTGGTAACATTGTTCATAGGGAGGGGTGRATAGAGGACTGTAGAAACTCTGTAAAGGGTAGTCTTACCACAAAGTCTTCTGCTTTCTTAAGTTGCAGCTTATCTCGGATATCTTTAGGTGCCCCAGCACAGAGTCTGTAGAAGACATGGTAGTTGCGTTCACCTTTGGACTGCTTACAGATACGAGACTTCTCCAGAAGGTAGTGAGAAATGAATCCTCCCACGACAATCACCTAACAAACATTAYAATACTATTAGCTACTAGCCTATCTGAGTTTAATTCTGTATAATATAAAGGTTACAATATTCATCATGGTAATAAATTTGTCTTAAAACTGTCCCATGTCAGAACGCATTTGCAATACTATGGCAGAATACTGTKTGTCTATGTCAGGTAATAATTCAAGATAGCCAGTYTTGTCTAATCATTTCCTGTCCACTCAACACCATCAAGTGATAGCAGTTTTCATATGACTGTGATAAAGTCGACCTGGATGTTTTCTAGAAATTTGATTGGCGGTTCTTTGCCGCAAGCAATGTGATTGGTCTAGCAGGGCTGCTACATTAGCGTGATGGCGTCCACACTGTGTTTATGTTGTGTTATGGGTACTTTATTGAATGGAGAGTAAATTCTTCACTGTGATTGGCCGGCATAATTTATGCCCTGCTGTGTCAGAACCATGTTAATGCCGCAAGCATCATATGAAAACTGCTCTAAAGACTTTTAGCAGCAAGAATGTCAAGCATAAATATTTCACTGCCYACCTTTTCATTGAAATGGACTTCAACATATTTGCCAAAGCGACTACTGTTGATGTTCCTTAGTGTCTTTGCATTACCAAATGATTCAAGAAGGGGATTGGCTGTGGAACAAAATGATTGACAGGTGCACAATGCATGACTATATAAATCAATTTCATTACTTGAAATTAAGTCATGATCAAATAATGACCAGTTACTATCCCTATTTTTTGTCTTGTGATACAAGTAAAAAAAACACAACATATCACTTCTTTAAAAGTGTTAGGCCTAGGGCAAACGTCGAACTTTCCATGCACCCAAATCATTAAAAACAATGGATATCAGGTGATAATAAGCTGGCATTCTTTGATAAAATTAAGTTCAGTGCATGAAAAGTTCAACGTTTGCCCTAGGCCTCCGAAACATAATTTATTTATTATTGTTTTATTTGTTTTATCATAGGATTACTAATTGTTTTTCATTATTGAATTTATTAAGGGGAAAGAAAGAGGTTGCAGGATCTAGCAGCAGTCTAAAATAGAGTACTAATACAAAATACTCTATCAATATTAACATTAAATGATAGGAAAAAGTATGTATTTATGAATACAAATATGTAATATAAATCTGTAATGTATAAATACATGTAGTGACAAACACAGAAAATATRCGTTAGTGGATTGTTACCTTCTATAATTCTTTGCTCAATGCGTCCCTGGTCACCAGATCCCCAGGATTCTGTCAAGTATCTTCGCATTACAAAAAGAGCAAGAATTATATTTCACATTGCCAGCAACTCTAGTTAACATATACAGCTGTATATCTCTAGTTAATGTATTGTGAGTTGTATTACAGGGACTGCAGAGAGGGAGGTAGACAGACAGACAGACAGACAGACAGACAGACAGACAGACAGACAGACAGACAGACAGACAGACAGACAGATTTTTCTTGGAGTTTTGAGCTTACTTTAAGTGTGCATTAATCAGGACTTAAAATAATGGGTGGCTAGTTGCTGGTCATGATGATCACCCAAATTAGTTTTAGCTCAGCCATACCTTGTTTCTGGCTAAACGTTACTGATCAAAATGACACACCGCAAAGGCAAAGGTTTGACTGGACAAGTTCCGATTCTGGGCAGACATTGTCTAAGGAGCACCAAAGGGAGTATAGCCCCCYTCCAATACACACATATTATATTTTTCTAATCCCCCTTCCTTCAGTCCTATTATTATATAGTCTGGTAAAGTGTGTATTTTTCAATCTGAGCCCATCTAAGTCCCCTACTCAAACACACACACACACTTTTTTCAAGTCTCACACCTCCCCCTACCCCCCCCNAATATTATGAGCCCATCTAAGTCCACTTCTCAAATACACACAGACGTTTAGAGTGCTCTGCTGTCCTTGTATTGTATTGCAATTTTTATTGTAATGCAAGAAGTGGATTACCTCAAGATGTATTTTGTAGACTCAGTCTTACCAGCTCCACTCTCACCTAAAGTGAGGTAAATCAGTCAAAATTAAGCAGTATATTAGCCTACATGTGTCATTTATCCTTATCATTTATCATTCACTATCACCAACATCAACATCTTCATCACAAGCATCATCATGAACATTATCATTCATCATCACCATCATCAACATCTTCATCACAAGCATCATCATTATAATAATWATTATTATTATCATGTATTCAYACTTACCACTAACAATAATGGACTGGCTTTGTTTATATGCTCGCATATCTCTGTACGCTTTATCAGCTGAAGAAACAGATTATAGAAACTTTAAGGTCAAGCCATACCCCTTCATTCTATCTGTTCTATATCTGCCCTACTATCCATAGTTTAGTGGTTGATTTTTGTGCGCTTAATGAGCCCTCTTAAAGGAGTCTCTCTTGAATAGAAGMGACTTCTAGTCAAGAGCCCTGAACACTCTCAACTGAGCCACGTGAAGGTGGTTTAACTGTTTATAGAATGTCTAATATTCTAATAATACTCTAATAATATGTCTAATAATACTATTCTTGGTGTTTGATTTTTGTACAGTTAATAAGCCCTCTTTAAGAACTCTCTCTTGACTAGAAGAGACTTCCCTGAACATGCTCAACTGAGCCAGTCGTAGTCTATATAATGTCTAATGTCATTACAGAGGCAGCGCTTTTAATTAGTTAATTATTGTAAGACTAATAAAATATATATTTATACATTAAAATAAGCATGAGCTTACCAATTGCAAAGACATGTGGTGGAAGAGTACCAAGTGATTTGCCATGGTATTTGTGGATAGTCTCTTTTGTGTATAGTTCTTTCACATCATGATACGGGTTGACGGCTAACAGAATATTGGCAACATAGGTCTGTGAAATCAGTATGAAACCAAGGAATATTAAGTAAAATTTTGTGTACTGTTTCTGGACTGAGATTATACATTATTTGAAAACCTACACCAAAGAGGGTATATTAATTCCTCTTTCACCAACCCCATGAAAATTATAATCCCCCTCTGTGGGGGAGGTATGGATATTTTTTTGGAACTACACAATATACCCTCCTCAGACCTTCCCCACCCCTTGGAAATTCCAATCCCCCTCTGTGGGGGAGGTATGGATGTTTTCTGGAACTACACAATATACCTTCTTCAGACCCTTCAAACCCTTCCAATGCCAATCTCCCTCTGTAGGGGACATATGTATATTTACTTTAACTACATGATATACCCTCCTCACNCCCCCCCTACTAAAAAAACTTGTCATTCTTGTAGATTTCCCCAATCCTTGGAAATTCCATTCCCACTCTGGGGAGGAGAGGTATGACTGTATATTTTCCAGCTACATACATAGATCTTGTCTTTGTTGTACCGGACTCTAAGGTTATTCAGAAGGGTAGCTTCATTCAAATACATCAGAGCACCTGGAAGAAAAAAATATAGTAAAAGAACAGCGAYGAGACTAGTAATCTTATCAATCTCAGTAACCTTGTTCAAAATTAAGTGCCTCATTTATTTGTTTATTCATTCATTCATTTATTTGTTGATTCAGTGGAGTCACTTTATTTATAATTCATTTTTTCATATCTTATTAATTTACTCATTTATATATTTTTTGTTCATATGCRTAATTTTTTTATTAATTCAAATTTTCTGTTTTCTTATTCTTCCTCCTTCCTTCTTTATCTTTCCATTGATCCATTGATCCATCCAGCCAAAGAACTATTTAAAATTAGATTCCCTAACATACAAGTTAATATTAGTATTTTTACATTAGTGAAAATAATGAATCTCTGGCACGCTCGTTGGTCACAATTTACGTGTTATTCTGTTATATTCACCTACAAATGAATACAATATTCAGTGAAGGCGTTTTTGAAACATGGCAAAGAGCAGTTTYATCAACAACAATTTTTTTTCCTATTATTTATTAAATTCACTAGTGTTAAAAATACTAAAACAATTCTTCRCCCCAGGCTTAGYAAATATCAGGGAATATTTACCTTGCCACTCAAAGACTCATGCCTAGGTMAATATTCCCCAATTTTCACTTCACCTTTGGTGATAATTGTTAAATATTCAAAATCACTCATGAAATGTGAACAGATATTGTACAGAGGTTTTCTATTTGACCTCACTATAGAGAAATTTGTTTAACCTAAAAAAGGAGTAGACATTCAAAGTTTTCTTACAGATATTAGTAACTCTGTATTTAACAAGTGTTCTYCCAACATCCCAAGTGTTTTGATCAGAGTATCAWACACRGAAAACTGTTTTTGATTTGTTTTATTAAAATAACAAATGCGCGAAAAGATCMAAAAAAAAGCAAAGCCTAAGTTAATTTCTACCTTCGTGCTGTCATATTCAAACTGACCAATGAGCGYGCGCGATAGATTAAAATCTGACAGTTGCAATACTCGYRYGCGMTAAAATGACGACAGCGTGTTTTGATRCTCTCATCAAACATGGTTTTYGRCCAATCATAGYRTGCGTAGTATCCCAATTATTTTATAAAATATCGTAAAGTCCTCACATAAACAATTTAAGACACAATTAAAAACTGTTTGTTGGCAGGCAAAACGTCTCACCAGCATACATTTCTCTTAAGTTATAAGGTTCAAAAATTTATAYATTCTAAGAATTACAGACAATCTTCATGAATCTTTACAAATTAACTAATATCTAAATGAAACAAATTGTTCTTCAAACTCTTTCTTCTGATAAAAAATAATACTATTTTTAAATAGCATGATGTCACAGTGAAAAATCTCCATACAAAAATAGACAATGCAGAGAGGTGTAAGAAAGGGATTGGCTATTACTCCAGTCCTTAAGTTAAAGAAYAACAAAGTGCATGTAGCAGTTCATAAAGGTATGACACCTCTTACGTTGATGGACACACGCTATTTAACAGGAACAAAGCCATGCTGGCATTAAAAATATGATTATTAATGAATAGTTTTAAGCTTCACATAGTAACGAATGAAAAATTCTTGACAGGAAAAATTGTCTGTAGTATATAGAATATGAAATGGGTATTATAGGAATAGTTARGCAAAAGATACTTAATATAAATTATCAATCAATTTACGGAATAAATTCAATGTATTAATAGAGTGCTTACTGATCCAAGGAAAAAGCAAAAAATATGAATTTAAAAATCAATTGTAATAAGATAATGTGAATAAATTTATATGGTTAAATTCTTCGAGTAAAAAAAATAAATATAAAAAATTGCGAATAATTTATTTTAATTATGTGTTCCTCAAGCAACCTGTCAACTTAAAAAAAGTATAGTTTTGGAAGGCAAGAAGAATATACATAAATTTAAAACAATATTCACGTAAAATCTAAACTCTTATGGTTCAATTTTCCTTCTTGATAAATAGAGGCGATAAAAATTTTCTACATTGGCAATTTTTTGAGTAGTTTGAAACGGCATTTTAGGAACCAAATGTTTGACTAACTTTGTTTACATCAATGTTGGAAACACCTAGAATTACGTAGTCAAGTTTTAAACGAGGTGCAGTTCGAGTTTTGAGTCAAACTTYAACTCAAATAAATATACTACAGTGTAAATATTTAAGATATTTAAGATAAAGAATGAATCTCTTGAGTTTATAGTGAGTTCGAAGATCCCGGAAGAGTATTTATTAGGATCGTCCGGATCATGCAAGTCATTCAAAACCCGCTATAAAAACTTGCTCAAACTTACAATTATCCTCGACATCTTTAGAGTTATCCTTTTCTGCCGGGAAGACACGGTTGTATGGAGCTGTGACAGTCTAGGATTGAAAGCAAAAGGTCCCAACATTTAGGTTTTAGGGATTTTTGTCGCGATTCAAGAAGTTTTGTGGTAATTTATTCAAAAGATAAAGACCCACCTTTCCTTTGAGGCCATCAAGTTCCACCGTTATTTCATCAGCTCCGAGATCGAGRATTGTCCCTAAACGAAACCCATGCTCGACATCAGGCACCCAGATCTTCTGTCCGCCRTCCATGGCTGGATTAGAAGTTTAAAATAATGAAAAACTTAAAGAAAGCTTCACTTTAGCTTGAGGATTATTTTTCCTAGCGGGAACCACAGAGAGCAGGGTGGCTAGTACGTCACGTGATCACATGATGACGTCATGCAGTAACACAACCGGGACAACAAGGAATAAGAGAGACAAGAGTTTGTTTTAGTGTTATGAGAATAATGACAGTCTTAGATATCAATGGTATTATAGTGGAAAGCTAGAATTATCGAATATTTAAGATGCCGGAAAGATTAAAACTAACCACGTTTGGTTCTGGCTCCTCTGGCTGTGCTCCTTTGCTCCTTTCGGTCAACCGATCACGGAAAATTTTTTATCGCTTCACACGACAATAGGTTTTTATTAATTTCGATGTAAAGTGTAAAGTTGAGAGGATATTTATTCAGACAATTGAAGGGGGCCTACTATCGAAAGGGATCGATTCCAGAACATTTCGAGGTTGAAGGAAAACAAGCTGAGGCCCGTTTTCGATTACGTCGTTGTTTACATTTTACTTTACTGATTAACATAAGTAAAACTTCAAGCAACAGACTGCAAAAATAATTAAAAAATCTTGGGTTTAAAAATTTATTTCGTTAGTAAARTCATGACCTGGGAATGAATGGTCGTTGATCGAACTGTCACGATTGGGGTTTGGTCGGATGGCAAGGACTTTGATACCGGAAAACACGGTCTGGCAAGGTCCATTGCTTTTAAGCAAACAATTAACAAAAGGCAAACAGAACGGAAACATGACAATTATTCGCATTTTGTGAGGATTTTTGGGAATTTAGAGGTAAATGGACGATTTTCAAGATACAAGGGACATTACTCGACCTCTTACCCACAGGAAGCCCACATACTTTATCTTCTAAGTAAACATAGTAAAACTAGCATATTTACGTTCTCGCGGTAAAATGAAAGCGGAAAAAGTTGTAACAATGACATGTTATTTAGATTTTGATGCAATAGACCCTTTCACGGTTTCCGACGCCATATTGTTTGGGGGGGGATTACTAAGGAGCGTAGGGGAAAGAGATACGTTTTTCGTTATATTTCCTTTCTGAGGTAAATTTTCGAGACCAAACTTTTTGCTGTAGATGGAGAATCTTCTGTTCAATGTTTTGTGACGTTTTTGAGCCGGTCGAGTCATTCTTGTCCTCAGTAATTTTGCCCCCAAGCAATATGGCGTCGGAAACCGTGAAAGGTCTATTATATGAAAGGATGAATGATGGTGATAACATCTATTGTCAGGGGGAGGGGGAGGGGAGRAGGGGAGGGGAAATTTGCGACATTTGGTTACCACCGAGCGCAAAGCTGGATCTCGATAATTAATGCGCGCGTTATTTTTAGCCAGCAATCTGATGGACCGGTGAAATAGATCGAGAGCTCAAACCCCCTACTAATTTTCCCTTTCTGTGAGCATGTACATAGGCCCACGATAACACTCCATCGTTACAAAACTACGTTTTATAAATTTATTTTCAAGACTGGGCATCGTTTCCAACTATAATTTACAAAATATTTAAAAAAATTCATACAAATATGACTTCGACACTGATTTACATAGTTGTCACCTCGTGTTACAAAGGATTGTGGATCATGGGCGCGTGGAGCTTTAGCTAAACTCGTCCCTACTCCAGGGGCGGATCCAGGGGGTGTACTGCAGTGCATCGGACACCCCCCTAACACCGTAATTACTCTTACGCTTTTTTGAAGCAAAAGAAACATTTACGATGCATAATACTTCATTTAGGACACCCCCTCCCCCACACACACACACAAATTCCTTGACCCGCTCCACTTCCACAATCCTACGCACCACGATGTTGCTACGCCACTAGCCTTCTTTTAAATTTAGAGGCGGATAGTCTTAGCAGAGGGTCTGTCAAACCATCATTGCTAGAAGGCCAGACGTGATTCGTGGAAGTTACAGGAGCTATAAAAAGGTAAAAAGTAATATCTCGAGTATGAATATCAAAAAAGACCATGTTCTGAGTTTGACAGCTCAAAAACTCTGGCATGATCAGTGCCAAAATTTTCCAGAATGAGTTATCAATTATCAAATTTTTTTTCTACSAAAATGTTCACAATATTACCGTTCAACGGGCAGGAACGTCATATATATTATCGTCATATGATTACYGGATACATTCATTTGCTTCTATTATGCATGTCTGTATGATACACGGACTACAAGCGTGAAGAGTTATGAAGTACTACCCCGGCCTTGCAGTTAAGCCTGCATAGTTTCACCATATCTTACAAATATAATCTATCTTATTCAGTATTATCTATAAATATTTCTTCTCTTGTTGATAAGAATATTTCCTCTGTATTTTCTCCATCATGGTTCTTTTCTGTCGGCGGAGGTTTGTAGAATCTCCAAGAAAAATAGAAGAAAACCGCGCCTAAAACTGGAAAAAATAGGAAATGGAATGGTCAGAAGCACCAAGGACGTGAATTAGAACCTGAAACAACCTCAGGCGAAGGCTATTTCACAGATCGAATTGGATTGAATTGAATTGTTGGTTTTTTGGAGGGAGAAAAACTGGAGAACCAGGGGAAAAACCTTAGAATTAAAGGAGATATCTAATACGCTCTACTCAAACGTACCGATTGCAGAAACCAAAACCCAGAGGCTAGTGTACTGCCGCTACACCACCCTCGATTCCAACTGAAATTCAGAAGCCAAGCGCTGCCGGTGTTGTCGGCAAAGAAGATATATCAGCAAAAGATATGTTCTGGATTTTTTTTTTTTTTTTTTTTTTTTTTTTTTTTTTGCGGGCCTTTGACTCATTGCACTAGTGTGTTACATGACAATAATTTTCCCCTGCAATATCAATAATACCAATTATAGTTTAAAAGTATAAGAGCTACAGTGAGCTTCTTACTGACCTAACGAAACTGTAGAAAAAACTTGTAACCATAAATCTAGAGCAGCCTTATCGTAGTACAAACAACTGCCCTTACTACCACAACTGTCTTCCCAAAGAATACATTTACTATCAAAGTAAGAACCAAAGACCACTGGAGCTGGCAAAAACGCGAACACTTTGAGTATAGTGACTTGGAAACCCATGGCGTAGGCACGTTGATTCTCGGGGACACATCTGGAGGTGATGGACAAAATTAGAATGCTTATAGAAAGTAATCGAAATGCTGTCGGCGTGTGTTCGGTCAATCGTCGATATATTATCGCAATATATTTTAATGTAGTGTCGTTGAGGACAGGGGAGAAAAATGATTTTTGGCCTTTCGCCATAAGGACAGCTTTACGTATTTAAGCTCAATATTTTTAAACACGTTCTTTTGGAGCCAAATAGCAAAATATTAAATGCGACCAAAATTTATTGCATGCGTATTTGAGATATAAAGCCGTGCACTTTGGGAGAGGTGATATTTTGATCAGCAGAAAAACTGACGCGATTACTAATAAGTAGATTTACTCTAATTCGACAAAATTTCGTCACAAGTTTCGAGCAGCAGTGACACAAATGAAACGCTTAAAAAATTAGAGTATAAGCTCAGTTAAATAAATAAAAAAATCGTGAAAGTAGCGGGCTTTTCGTTTTTCTGCCCGGTCGACGTTGGGCGCTTTAATATTGCCGGAATTTCCACGCATGCGCAGTACTTCTGTTGAAGTATCGATAAAGTGCTTTCTATTTATAGAATGGCAATTTTACAACTCGTCCACAACACTTTGACCATTAGATAACTAAAATAAGGAGACATACCAAGGAAAACTGGAAGAAATTGGTTAATTATTTTACCTTATTAAGACGGTTCTGACGGGTGTTATAGCGAGCCCAAAGGAAAGTAAACCAATGCATATCGTAATCATAAAGACAACGAAGTTCTGGCACTTCCTGTCACAGAATCCTTCTGTCGCTTGTACCACACTCTTGGGGGTACTATTGGGTACTTGAATACATGAGCAATTGGTATACCCCTGGAGAATCAAGCATTTAGAGAAGAATAGATCATTTTCGAGTTACTGTGTTGCTGTGTTACTCAGACTTAGCTTCGTACAAAAACACACCTTTGATCCAGTTCTGTCTGTACATCCAGCCTGACACGGGCTGTAATAGGTGATATCATCTATTCCACACACAGGATTGTAATTCAACCGAGCACAGCTACAGTTTTGATTACAATAAGATTGAAGACTAAAACCTACTGTAGAGCTGAAAATAATAAGGAAAACATTATCAGAAACAAGACAGAGCATAAGTTTTCAGTCCCGGGGGGGGGGGGTACTCCGCCAGAATTTGGGTAGGGGTGTTCCGCTGGGATTCTGAAAGGGGTACCCTGTTTATGACAAAAAAAATCGTATTTGTAGACCCTGTTTATGACAAAAGATATAATTAATTGCACTGAGTTCCTGTTTCAATTATCATGTCATCTCACGTATCATTTTTTTACGACCATGGTAACCAGTTTCACTCAATACGAAAGTAGAAATCCTGAATATGACAAGAAGCTCAGGAAGAATTTGGACCTTGAGTGAAATTGCATACCCTGTTTATGACAAGAAGCTCAAAAAACCATACCCTGTTCAGCGGATCATCCCCGTATAGTTCATATATGGGAGTACCCCCCCCCCCTCCCCCAGGTTTTCAGTTCCGTACGATCTTGTATGACTCAAAAAATGACCGTGCGTGACCGTGACCATCAGGGTCCCGTGTTTGAGCATCTTCATTGGGTAATCAAATACCTCGCGCGCTAACGGTAATGGCGTAACAGTAGTAAACTAGGGTCTCCACTTTAGGGTCTAGGGTTTGTTTCACTCATCATCACATGAGAGTATAGTTCGTTAGTTCTCTAGTTTCTCTGGTTTCCCTCCCTCTGCAAAACCTATCATGCTAAATTTCAATCTGAATCTGGGGAAGCAATCACAGAATGCATCTGTGAGTTAGCTATGCCATGACTTAGGTCAGCCCGGAGGTTGTATCTGGTTTTCATCTGTCAGTTAGTCATGCCCTGACTTAGATTACCCCGGAGGTTGTTTCAGGGCTCCATCTGTGAGTTAGCCTTGCCCTGACTTCGAACAGCCCAGAGGTTGTTTCAGGGTTTCATCGCGAGTTAGTCATGCCCTGACTTAGATCAGCAAAGTCATGCTTCACGGTTTCTGTATTTTATCAGCCCAGAGATTGTTTCAGGGTTCAATAAAACTAAAGTTCAATTCTGCAACGTGACAAGATATACCTGTTATGATAGGGAACATTGACCCCGGCAAAGTCCAGGGTCCGGCAGCCGGGGATGTAAAATGCCGGTAAAGAAAGTAAAGCGATGGATGAAAGTATGAAACACATCTTGGCAGAGCGTTGACACATCTCGGTGAGGTGGAGGTGACGTACAAGAAAACTGCCTACTATGATTCCCCCTGATCGAGAAAAAACAGGTTTAACAGGTTTGTGTGGCGCCAAAAGGATTATTTTCATAACATAACATTTTTTCCAGTAATAATAATATGTGCCTTATGATCAGTGCATGGAGTTAGGTTGGTGATGGTGATGGTGATGGTGATGGTGATGGTGATGGTGATGGCGATGGCGATGGCGATGGTGATGGTGATGGTGATGGCGATGGTGCTGGTTATAATAAGGATGATGGTGAGGATAGTGATTAGATTTGACTACGTGTGCTGACGACTTCGAATACGTCTATGCGATTTTGTCGCAAAAAAATATTCCATTCAAATTAGTCGTCGTTATCAGTCGCAGTCGAAGTCGCAGTCACAGTCGCATCTAAAGCTTCGTAATGTGTATGGAATGGTGTTGATGATCAGCGATGATGATTGCGGTGTGATGATGATGATAGGAATGTTATAATGGTGATAATATTGGTCGTGACGACAACCTACCTAATGTCAGGACAACACTAGGCACTCCAATACCACTAGTTACCGTCATAGGCGAAATCCCAAACTTCAACTGCACATATTTAAACAAGAAAGGCGCAGCTCCACTAAGAAAGAACATCCCGATAAGAACAGCAAGACTATTGAACATAAAAGTGGGATTCCTAAGAAGCCTCTTCGTGGAAGGAAGGAATTCACTTGCAGTGCCTTGGATTTCATCTCTCTTTGGTATTTCACCTTTTAGGATCATGTCCTCTCGAAGTTCTCTGGTGCCTGGTATTGAGGAAGTGAATCCACTGATCGCCAGTGAAATAAGAAGGGTTATCCAGCCACCCACGAAGTACCCCAGCCACCAGGCTCCCACCCATCGTGGGTCATCAGGCTTCATGTCTTCTAGTCCTACTGGCTGAAGAATCAATGAAAAACGATATTGACATTAGACAAATTGACAAAGTCGTAACTCGATACTAGCAAAAAAAGGCTGAAAAATACCAGCAAATGTAGTGTGGTGCCGTGCGATACGGTATGGTGCGGTGTGGTGTGCTGTGGTGTGCTGTGCTATGTTGTGGTGTGGTGTGGTGTGTGGTGTGGTGTG